TAACACATGTTTTGCTATACACATGTTTATTCCCTTTGTGTGTATTGGGACAAAACAAAAAAAGGGAGGAAAGAAAGCAAATTCGACATAATGTCACACAAACCTCCAAAAATGGGCTGGACAAAAGTATTGGCACCCTTTCACAACTGCGGATAAATAAGAATGTTACAAGCATGTGATGCTCCTGTAAACTCACCTGGGCAAGTAACAGGTGTGGGCAATATAGAAATCACACCTGAAAGCAGATAAAAAGGAGAGACGTTCACTTAACCTTTGCATTGTGTGTCTGTCTGTGCCACACTAAGCATGGACAACAGAAAGAGGAGACGAGAACTGTCTGAGGACCTGAGAACCAAAATTGTGGCAAAATATCAACAATCTCAAGGTTACAAGTCCATCTCCAGAGAACTAGATTTGCCTTTGTCCACAGTGCGCAACATTATCAAGAAGTTTGCAACCCATGGCACTGTAGCTAATCTCCCTGGTCGTGGACGGATGAGGAAAATTGATGAAAGATTGCAACGCAGAATAGTCCGGATGGTGGATAAGCAGCCCCAAACATGTTCCAAAGACATTCAAGCTGTCCTGCAGGCTCAGGAGCATCAGTGTCAGCGCGAACTATCCGTCGACATTTAAATGAAATGAAACGCTATGGCAGGAGACCCAGGAGGACCCCACTGCTGACACAGAGACATAAAAAAGCAAGACTACAGTTTGCCAAAATGTACTTGAGTAAGCCAAAAGCCTTCTGGGAAAACGTCTTGTGGACAGATGAGACCAAGATAGAGCTTTTCGGTAAAGCACATCATTCTACTGTTTACCGAAAACGGAATGAGGCCTACAAAGAACAAAACACAGTACCTACGGTAAAAATATGGTGGAGGTTCAATGATGTTTTGGGGTTGTTTTGCTGCCTCTGGCACTGGGTGCCTTGACTGTGTGCAAGGCATCATGAAATCTGAGGATTACCAAAGGATTTTGGGTCGCACTGTAGGGCCCAGTGTCAGAAAGCTGGGTTTGCGTCCAAGATCCTGGGTCTTCCAGCAGGACAATGACCCCAAACATACGTCAAAAAAGCACTCAGAAATGGATGGCAAAGAAGCGCTGGAGAGTTCTGAAGTGGCCAGCAATGAGCCCAGATCTAAATCCCATTGAACACCTGTGGAGAGATCTTAAAATTGCTGTTGGGAAAAGGTGTCCTTCCAATAAGAGAGACCTGGAGCTGTTTGCAAAGGAAGAGTGGTCCAAAATTCCGGGGTGAGAGGTGTCAGAAGCTTATTGATGGTTATTAGGAAGCGACTGATTTCAGTTATGTTTTCCAAAGGGTGTGCAACCAAATATTAAGTTAAGGGTGCCAATACTTTTGTCCAGCCCATTTTTGGGGTTTTGTGTGACATTATGTCATATTTGCTTTTTCTGCCTCTGTTTTATATTTGTTCCAATACATACAAAGGGAATAAACATGTGTATAGCAAAACATGTGTTAATGCAATACCTTTTTTTGTGTGAAATACTTGATTTTCAGGAAAAATATCAAGGGTGCCAACAATTTCGGCCATGACTGTATATATACAGCTCATATAACCCTTTCCTGTACACTGATGTATATACACAGCCTATATACCACTTTCCTGTACACTGACGGATATACAGTAGCTCATATAACCCTTTCCTGTACAGACATGTATATACACAGCTTATATACCACTTTCCTGTACACCAATTTATATACACAGCTCATATAACCCTTTCATATACACTGATGCACAGTGACACTTTGGGGGAGTTGTGCAACCAAATCAATCCATCAAAAAGTGTCAGACACTCAAAAGGGATCTTCAATATCTCCAGTTCATACAGCTGCACCTCCAGTAATGTTGTGTACCTTATCCAGTGCAGAAAATGTAACAAAGGATCCTATGTTGGCGAAACAGGACAGAAGTTGCAAACAAGGATGAATTTGCACAGACATACCATCAAGGAACATAAAGAAGATAACTATTGCACACCTGTGGGACACCATTTCGCACAACCAGACCACACTTTGGGAGACCTCAATGTTTTAGTTCTGAAAGGAAATTTCAAATCCATTCAGGAAAGAAAAAAAACTTTTTGAACTAAGAATAATTCTATTTGACACAAGCGATAAGGGCCTTAATTTGGACATGGGATTCCTCAATCATTATCCAACATTTTTATGACTCTCTCTGTGATCGTTGTTCTCCCCCCCCCCCCCTCTTTGCTTTTGCTTTGCTGTATCTTATCTCTAGTTTAACCCTAGGCTTGTGTTTCTGCTTTTTTTTCTCTCATCTCCAACTTCTAACATTCTGCTAAAACATTGTAATAGTACTGCTCGGACCTTGAAGAAGGGGACATACCCCGAAAGCTTGTCCTCAATATTGTATGTTAGGGCAAATAAAAAAAGTATCATGGACAGTACTCAATTGTTTCTGTGGGGAGTTTTACTAAAACTGCATGGTGCAAAATCTGGTGTAGCTCTGCACAGAAACCAATCAGCTTCCAGGTTTTATCGGCAAAGCTTAACTGAACAAGCTGAAGTTAGAAGCTGATTGGCTACCATGCACAACTGCACCAGATTCTGAGTCCAGTTTTAGTAAATCTCCCCCTTTGTAACCAATGGCGAGTACATAGGAGAAAGCACATTTGTTTCTCCGGAGTTATCTTTTAACCCTTTTACCGACATAAGGCTTATGGCGGTGGTAACATGGGCCTTTAAACACACTCACACACGTATCAGGTGCACCTACAAACAAAAACAACAACTACACATATGCATCAATGCACATGCTGGAGTGTGAGCAATAATTTCAGCGTTATCAATCTCCCTCTTAACTTTAAACTGATGACCTGTAAAGACTTTTAGGCGCTGTTCACATAAAACTTAGCGGGAACACGGGTTTCCACTAGTGATGTAAATAGCACAGTTCACTTGCAGAGACAGGTGTCGTACATAGGGATGTCCTTTCACGTGAATAGGTTGTCCTATGCACAATTGTGGCTGCAAAGAATCTTAAGGACCAGATTATAGGCACCTAAACGCATGCTGCGCATTTTGCAGCAAATTGGAATCGTGGCCAGAATCATAGCAATTCTGCCTGCGGTTCCAAATTGCCTACAGTGCCTTAAGGCTCAATTACTCATAGCAACCTCATCTTTTAAATTTTACAAGAAAATGGGTAATATATTGCTCTCAGGTGCCTTAAAACTACCTTTTAGTGTTAAACTGAAAATATGGGTTTGACAGTTGTGCTAATATTGTGTGACATAAAAATTGCAACTACAACTAATTTATTCTCCAGGGTCTCTTTTCTGAAAATGTTGGGGGTGGGGGGTTGGTGGTGTTTAACAAATCATGAGGTCTAAAATGTGCTTTTTAACATGTAAAGATCAAAATCAGAATTTCTCTGGCAGCTCACCATGAGAGAAGGGCTATCAGCTTCTTAGGGCTGATTTGGCTAGAATGGTGTTTTCCAAAACTATGACTGGCTACAGTTGTGTGTTACCAACCTATGACTAGCTTCAAGGGTGTGCTCCTAACCTCAGTGGCTTCGGTGGTGTGTTACCGACCTGTAACTGGCTAGAGTGGTGTGGTACCAACCTATGACTGCATAAATTGGTGTGTTCTAAGATGCGACTGGCTTTAGGTATGTATTACCCACTTGCGACTGGCTTCAGTGGTGTGTTACTAACCTACGACTGGCTAGAGCGGTGTGTGTTGCCTACCTATGGGTGGCTAGAATGGGGTTTTCCTAACCTACGACTGGCTTCAGAGGTGCGTTACCGGCCTACAACCGGCTTCAGAGGTGCGCTACCGGCCTACAAGCGGCTTCAGAGGTGCGCTACCGGCCTACAAGCGGCTTCAGAGGTGCGCTACCGGCCTACAAGCGGCTTCAGAGGTGCGCTACCCGGCCTACAAGCGGCTTCAGAGGTGCGCTACCGGCCTACAAGCGGCTTCAGAGGTGCGCTACCGGCCTACAAGCGGCTTCAGAGGTGCGCTACCGGCCTACAAGCGGCTTCAGTGGCACGTTAAGACACCTACGGCTGGCTTCATTGACTGGCATCAGTATTGTTGTACCAACCTATGACTGGCTATAATGATCTGTTCCTAACCTATGAGTGGCTTCAGTGGTATATTACTGACCTGCAACTAGCTTCCGTATTGTTACTAACCCAAGTGGTGTTTCACTGACCTGCGGCCCGCTTCACTGGCGTGCAGCCGACCTGCGGCCCGCTTCACTGGCGTGCAGCCGACCTGCGGCCCGCTTCACTGGCGTGCAGCCGACCTGCGGCCCGCTTCACTGGCGTGCAGCCGACCTGCGGCCCGCTTCACTGGCGTGCAGCCGACCTGCGGCCCGCTTCACTGGCGTGCAGCCGACCTGCGGCCCGCTTCACTGGCGTGCAGCCGACCTGCGGCCCGCTTCACTGGCGTGCAGCCGACCTGCGGCCCGCTTCACTGGCGTGCAGCCGACCTGCGGCTGACATTGCCTTGAGTACAGCCATTTCTGAGTACCCAGGGCTGCCTGGGTGTGGAAACACTCCTTTTATGTTGGCGAATATTTACAGCAGAAAGTGTTGGTGTGCTTCAGCCCCCATTATACAGGCAACCAGTAGTTTGCAAAACACTTTACAATATAAAGGAGACAGCACAGTTCCAACACAAATCAGTAGTGCTGGGTTACCAGGGACAGAGAACATTGAAGATCACCATAATAGTCAGGTATTCAGAACGCTCAGCCAATATGGCGGCCTCCAGGTTCTCCTCATAAGACTCTCAATATGAAAACTCTCCGGATTTGGTTTACAGACTTCGAGGAAAGCTCCACTACACAGAATAAAAAATGTCAGCTCACACTGAGAGGACATACCGACCACTCCCTGGGAGGACAGCCCGCCAACTTCAGTCACCAAGCGACGCCCGAAAAGGGCGGGTCAACCCTCAGCACGGCACCTCCCCTTCTATCCCGCCTCTCACCACTTCCCCACCCTCAGATACTACGAGAGGAGAGAGAGACGGAGCCACGCCGAGCAGCAGCCTCCAGGTGAGAACCTGACTGCCGGACACCGCCGATGACCTCCCTTCTCACCTCACACCTCTGTCCAGATTCCCGCGCTTTAAGCCTCGCTTTTCTATTGGCTGGCGACCCCCTTGCACCGCCGGCCTTGCGTGCACCGAGAGTGGGCGGGCCTTTGGCCGTTAGACTGTTTTGCCGCCCATTTTCGTAGTAGTGTGTGTAAGGGAGAGCGGGCCGGGCAGACTCTGAGAGGAATTTACTAAGATGGGTGTACAGATCACCGAGTCCCGGTCTCCTCATGTATTGTCCGTCATTACCATAAGGGGGTAGGGGCACGTGTCAGTGACAACCAGGAACTCTTCCAGGTGTTGTCACCCAGTGAGATTGTTGAGGCGAGTTCAGATTTGACAGAAAACATTTCATACGTAGAATATCACCATATTCACCTGGTTCACGAGCGCCTATGGCAAAGTTGCCTTTTTGAACCCCCACCCCTAGCAAATCCAGCATTGTTGGAGTAACACAGTGGCTAAATGGTTAGCACTTCCGCCTGGCAGTACTCGGGTCTTTGGTTCAAATCCCAACCACAGCACCTCCTGCCTGGAGTTTGCATGTTCTCCCTGTGCCTGTGTGGGTTTCCTCCGGGTACTCCGGTTTTCTCCCACACCCCAAAGACATGCTGGTAGGTTAATTGGCTCCTGTCTAAATTGTCCCTAGTATGTGTATGTATGAATGTGAGTTACAGACCTTAGATTGTATGCCCCTTGAGGGTTAGGGACTGATGTGACTACAATATATATGTAAAGTGCTGCGTAAATTGACGGTGCTATATAAGTACCTGAAATAATAAATATATAGAATAAGCCGCCCCTGGCCTGTGCCACCATCTTGTATAACGACATCATCATTATAGAACAGGGGTGCCCAACCTGTGGCCCTTGTAGCCCTCAGATATGGCCCTCGACCTCAAACCAGGTAAGCGCACTTCTAGTATATGCTGAGGGTTCGTATGCCCACACCCACACCCGCAAATAGAAGACTATGGCAAAATGCAGCTAATCCGCAGGTGCACTGCGCTGAACCACAGTGCGGGTAATCTGCAGCACAGTGCCGACCAGTCATGTACCTGGTACCTCGCCGCTCTTCAGGTGATTGTACCAGGATGAGGCCTGCAGCTGTGGCTCTCTTAAATAACGCTCTGACCCGCTAACTAGCCACTCGATCGTTATTACGGTTAGTGGGAGGGGGTGTTGTCTCCCCTCCCGCAGCTTGCTCGGGATCTCCCACCCCACCTCCCACAGCTTGCTCGGGATCTCCCACCCCACCTCCCACAGCTTGCTCGGGATCTCCCACCCCCCCTCCCACAGCTTGCTCGGGATCTCCCCCCTCCCACAGCTTGCTCGATCTCCCACCCCCCCTCCCACAGCTTGCTCGATCTCCCACCCCCCCCTCCCACAGCTTGCTCGATCTCCCGTCCGGCCCCCTCCCGCAGCTTGCTCGGGATCTCCCGTCCGGCCCCCTCCCGCAGCTTGCTCTGGATCTCCCCCCACCCCGCAGCTTGCTCGGGATCTCCCACCCCACCTCCCACAGCTTGCTCGGGATCTCCCACCCCACCTCCCACAGCTTGCTCGGGATCCCCCCCCCACACCTCCCACAGCTTGCTCGATCTCCCCTCCGGCCCCCTCCCGCAGCTTGCTCGGGATCTCCCGTCCGGCCCCCTCCCGCAGCTTGCTCGGGATCTCCCGTCCGGCCCCCTCCCGCAGCTTGCTCGGGATCTCCCGTCCGGCCCCCTCCCGCAGCTTGCTCGGGATCTCCCGTCCGGCCCCCTCCCGCAGCTTGCTCGGGATCTCCCGTCCGGCCCCCTCCCGCAGCTTGCTCGGGATCTCCCGTCCGGCCCCCTCCCGCAGCTTGCTCGGGATCTCCCGTCCGGCCCCTTCCCGCAGCTTGCTCGGGATCTCCCGTCCGGCCCCTTCCCGCAGCTTGCTCGGGATCTCCCGTCCGGCCCCTTCCCGCAGCTTGCTCGGGATCTCCCGTCCGGCCCCTTCCCGCAGCTTGCTCGGGATCTCCCGTCCGGCCCCCTCCCGCAGCTTGCTCGGGATCTCCCGTCCGGCCCCCTCCCGCAGCTTGCTCGGGATCTCCCGTCCGGCCCCCTCCCGCAGCTTGCTCGGGATCTCCCGTCCGGCCCCCTCCCGCAGCTTGCTCGGGATCTCCCGTCCGGCCCCCTCCCGCAGCTTGCTCGGGATCTCCCGTCCGGCGGCCCCCCCTCCCGCAGCTTGCTCGGGATCTCCCGTCCGGCCCCCTCCCGCAGCTTGCTCGGGATCTCCCGTCCGGCCCCCTCCCGCAGCTAGCTCGGGATCTCCCGTCCGGCCCCCTCCCGCAGCTTGCTCGGGATCTCCCGTCCGGCCCCCTCCCGCAGCTTGCTCGGGATCTCCCGTCCGGCCCCCTCCCGCAGCTTGCTCGGGATCTCCCGTCCGGCCCCCTCCCGCAGCTTGCTCGGGATCTCCCGTCCGGCCCCCTCCCGCAGCTTGCTCGGGATCTCCCCGTCCGGCCCCCTCCCGCAGCTTGCTCGGGATCTCCCGTCCGGCCCCCTCCCGCAGCTTGCTCGGGATCTCCCGTCCGGCCCCCTCTCGCAGCTTGCTCGGGATCTCCCGTCCGGCCCCCTCCCGCAGCTTGTTCGGGATCTCCCGTCCGGCCCCCTCCCGCAGCTTGCTCGGGATCTCCCGTCCGCCCCTCCCGCAGCTTGCTCAGGATCTCCCGTCCCACTGGGAAATCAGAGTGACCAGCACTTAAAAGCATTCAGAAACACTGATCTTGGGGTTTTGAATGCTTTTAAGTGCCGAGGAGGGATTTGGGGGTTTTACGGAGCCCCAGATCCCTCCATAAAAAGGACCTGTCACTGCCTATTGCTGTCACAAGTGATGTTTACATTCCTTGTTACAGAAATAAAAGTGATTCAAAAAATTTTAAGAAATTGTGTAAAAATAAAAAAATATATATATAAAAATTAAAAAAAAAAAATTAAAGTGCCCCCGTCACACCATGCAATGCACGCGTGTAAACACTGATTGTCCCACACATGTGAGGTATCACCGCGAACATCAGATCTTGGGCAGTAATTTTAGCACCAGATCTCCTGTGTAAATCTAAAGTGGTAACCTGTAAAGGATTGTAAAGCGTTGCCTATGGATAGTAAAATTTACATCAATTGTTGGTTGCATGGGCGTGTGCAATTTTGAAGCGTCACATGTTTGGTATCTACTGTATTTACTCAGCATGGCATCATCTTTTATATTTTACAAAAAAGTTGGGTTATGTATTTTTTTTGCATTAAAATTCAAAGAAGTGTATTTTTTTCCCCAAAAACTGTGTTTGAAAAACCTCTGCGCAAATGCCGTGTGAAATTTAAAAAAAAATGAAAAAGCCACCAAGTTATTCTCTATGCCTCTCCTTTAAAAAAAATATATAATATTTGGGGGTTCTAAGTCATTTTCTAGCAAACCAAAAAAAAATGTTACATGTAAACAAAAAGTGTAAACTTATCCTCACCCTTTCACTGCCAGAGACTATTTTGCGTTCTGTGTACACTTGTTTAAAAATTAATTTTCAGCTTGAAGATTAGATAAAACCTCCCAAGTGTGATTTATTTTCTGAGAAGAGACACTAGAGAATAAAAGAATATAAAGGTGAAGAATACTTTTGCTGTATATTCCTTTGCTGTTTAAAGTGCGAGGAAGACACTGTGAGCTTTGGAGCACCATGGGTCTAGCTCCAGGGGAAATAAACCTAGGCCTGGACTAGAGAATAACATATTTACATTTTTAATAAAGCAGAAATCCTGGCAAAAACTTTTTGAACCATGCAGTGCACTTCATGGGCTAACTGCTCATTTTTGTCTGGGGGTGATGACAGTGAAGATAAACTTACCGAATCCGCTGATCCTCGGAGCTTAAGACCGGTCCCTGCTGCTGCCTCCCTCCCCACACGCTAGCGGTCTTGTGAATGGACTGTTCCTGACATGAACACATCCATAGACTGGCTCCGGGCATGAGGACAGCAGGAACAGTTCACTAGTGGACATGGAGCGGAGGGTTTCCAGAGGATCAGAGGACAGGGTAAGTATACAGTTGTGTTCAAAATAATAGCAGTCAGACATCACTAACCGGATCAATCACTGTTTTTGGTAGAAATGATATTTCTACATGGCAAATAATTTCCTAGCAGGTGTAGTAGAGTAATAGAAATCCAACAGACCCAACAGTCATGACATGCATGCTGCTGATTCTGTGTCATTGAATCACTAATTGAAAGGGGCATGTTCAATATAATAGCAGTGTGGAGTTCTATTAGTGAGGTCATTCATTCTTTGAAAAACAGGTGGCAATTATTGCCCTTATTTAGGAAGGAAGGCAGCAAATGTTGTACATGCTGGTTACAGTGCATTTCTCTCTGAAATTCTGAGGAAAATGGGTCGTTCCAGACATTGTTCAGAAGAACAGTGTACCTTGATTAAAAAGTTGATTGGAGAGGGGAAAAACATATAAAGAAGTGCAGAAAATGATCGGCTGCTCAGCTAAAATGATGGCAAATGCTTTAAAATGGCAACCAAAACCTGAAAGACGTGGAAGAAAGTGAAAAACTACCATTCGAATATATAGAAGAATAGCCAAAATGGCGCGCGGACTCAGCCAACAATCAGCTCCAGGAAGATGAAAGAAGGTGTGACGTTCCCTGTGAGGACTGTTACAATTAGAAGGCGCCTATGTGAAGCCAAGCTATCTGCAAGAAGTCCCCGCAAAGTCCCACTGTTGGAAAAAAGACGTGCTGAAGAGGTTACAATTTGCCAAAGAGCACATTGACTGGCCTAAAGAGAAATGGCGCAACATTTTGTGGACTGATGAAAGTAAGATTGTTCTTTTTGGGTCTAGTGGGCAGAGACAGTTTGTCAGACGACCCCCAAACACTGAATTCAAGCCACAGTACACTGTGAAGACCGTGAAGCATGGTGGTGCAAGCATCATGATATGGGA